GACAGCACTTCACAACAGCAACAACAAATGGGTTACAAGTGGGGCTGCTAACCTGTAAAGTCAGCAGTTCAGATCTACCAGCCAGTCTATGGGGAAAATGAGGCTTTCTGCTCCCATAAAGATTTACAGCCTCGAAAACCATATACAGGGTCGCTATGAGTGAGAATCGAATTGACGGCACACTACTACCACCACCAGGGGAGAAAAAAGGAGCCCTCGTGACTCTGTGAGTTAGACATTGGGCTACTACTGCAAGCTCCATGGTTCAAACCCAGTAGCCCGCTCCATAGGAAGAAAATGAAGCTGCCTGCTCCCATACAGACTTTCAGCCTCAGAGACCCTATATTAGGTCATTATGAATCAGAATAGACTTGATGGCTATAGATGGGTTGTTTCTGTTTTTGCTAAGTGCCATATAGCAACCCTTTATAGGGTTTCTGAGGAGTGGCTGGTTTTTTGAACCTCCCATTTTGTGGTTAGCTTCTCCTACAGCTGCCAAAAGAAAAGACAGGAAGCCTTGAGCTAGTGGGACCCACTGAGAGCTGGGGGAACTCCTGCGTGGTGTAAACAGTTAACTTGGCAGCTAACCAAAAGATTGGAGGTCCAAGTCCACCCAGAATTGTTGAGAAGAAAGTCCGGGTGATCTGCTTCCAAAAGATCATAGCCATTGAAAACCCTATAGAACACGCTTCTACTCTGACACACCTGGGATCACTGTATGCCAGGGTCCATGCTACGTCAGCTGTTAGTGGTGGTGGGCATTCCAGAAATCATAGAATCTGGGAACAAAAGAAATTGTTGTCATCAGGGGTTTGGCCCCCACTCTGAATCTAGAATTTGGGTCTGGGCACCAGCCCTGGGATTGCTGAAGGACTACTGGAGCGGTAGTGCCTCCCATATATGACTTTCTGTACCTAGCCAGTCCCCACACCATAGTGGTTTCCCACCACAATCTCCCAGTTCTCTGGTTCAACTTTCTTCAGGGATCACTATGTCTCCTCCTCCAGCTGTGGTACCGCTGGCATGCCATGGGAACACAGTTTTCCCATTCCTAAAATGGGGCAATAATAATAACATCTGGACTCCTACTGTGGCACTGTAGGATCAGCACTGGACTTTGAACCACAAGGATGGCAGTTCAACCCTCCACCTACTCCTCGGAAACCCTGTACCAGGTGACTATGAGTCGGCACCAACTCGACAGCATTTAACAACTTAGCAATTGGATTCAGGAGAGTTGAATGAGACGCAGTTGTCAAAGTGGTAGGCAAACAAAACAAGCAAACACAAAGCCAAACTCACGGCATCGTGTAGATTCCAGCTCATAACAACCCTATGGGACAGAGAACACTCCATAGGGTTTCTGAGTCTATAAATCTTTATGGGAGCAGGCAGCCTCATCTTTAAACCATTTTGCAGAAGAGACCTCGTCTTTCTTCCATGGAGTGGCTCGTGGGCTCGAACTGCCCACCATGTGATTCACAGTCCAGTGTTTATCCTATGGAGCCTCTGTACTCCCCCTAGACAGATAGTTGTTGTTGTTAAGTGCTGTTGAGTCAGTTCCAACTCATAGTAACCCTGAATAGAGTTTCTGAGGAGCAGCTGGTGAGTTTGAACTGCCAGCCTCGAGGTTCAAACCAACCATGTGGTCTAGTGCTTATCCTACAAGACTCCAGACAAAGGTTGTTACTATTGTTAAGTATTGTCAAGTCAGTTCCGACTCATAGTGACCCTGTATAGGGTTTCCAAGGAGCAGTTGGTTGGTTTGACCCAGTGACTGTGTTTCTCAGTCCATTGCTTATCCTACATCATGTCAGGAGTCATTTCTTGTTGTTGTTGTTGTTAAGTGCCATCAATTAGTTCCAACTCAGAGCAATGCTGCATAGGATTTCCGAGGAGCGACTGGTGAGCTTGTTAAGTGCTGTTGAGTCGGTTCGGACTCAAGAGTAACCCTGTATAGGGTTTCCAAGCCTGAACCACCAATCTTGTGGTTCAAATTGACCTTGTAGTCCAGCGCATTAACTCTCAGGGGCATAATAATTATCTGTGGCTTCTGAGTCTGAGAGGCAGAGGGGGAGTGGGAGGAGAGGGTCTGACCTGCCAAAGACCACTGTGAAGACATGAAGTCCTAGGACTCTGGACTTGGTGGCCGTCTGGGTCAACGGCCCTGCCTCTGGCCTCTAGTTCACTGCTTGGACACCCCCAGGATTAAGG